TGTGTGTGTGTGTGTGAGTGTGTGTGTGTGTGTGCGTGTGTGTGCGTGTGTGTGTGTGTGTATGTGTGTGTGTCTGTGTGTGGGGGTGGGTGTGTGGGTGTGTATGTGTGTCAGTGTGTGTATGTGTGAATGCCTGAGTGTGGAAAGAGGAGGGGGGAGGCAGTCTTCTGCAAAATGAGTGCGTATGTATACATTTATAAGTGTGTCTAGACGAAATATTATGTGCATTAGAGTAAATAGTGAACTATATCTGCTCTTTTCCCATATTATTTCCAAGTTTCTCTTGCCCCTACTTCTTCCCTGCAAAATGTGGCCGTTACAGAACTGATTGGTATGTGAACAGCAACACAAAGAAATGTACATTGCATGCGTTTAGGAGTATGATTCACATGCTTTCACATGTATGTATTCACAAACATGCACACATGCTAGCGCAATACACCACACACAAGCATGCGTACACATGCACGCGCACGCACGTATGATGTACCACTAAATCTCCTCACTCAACCTCACATGTTTTCATGTGTGCACACGTGTGCGTGCGTGTTTGAGAATCTTTATTTTGAGATAGCTTTCCTCGCAGCTCACATCTGCCTGGCAGTTTTATGATCCTCCAAAAATACATATTTCATTGCTCACGTCCACACTTGCACTGCACACCTGCACATTATCCGCAAACCTGTTTTAGTTTTAGTAAAAGTTTTACGGCACTTGCAACACAAATAAGTCAGGTAAGTGCGGACGGAAGATTAGAGGTGTGTCTACAGAGCAACATACTACACAGAAAAGAAGGATAGACAAGGAAGATAGATCTTTGATAGGAAAAGGAGCAAACCACACCGGATAGCGCCTACCAACCAGTCACGCACACCTGTATACATAACTGATGAAGATGAAATGTGCTCGCAAGATAGGCCTTCAAACGGACAAATATACGGACGAGAGAGCAACCAAACAGAGACTGGAAAAAAACAAAATAATAACGGATTGATGGGGGTAGGATGTGTCGCCATAATAACGGGTACTTTTTGCAGCAAACAAATTAGGATAACGTAATTAGTAGCACTGGTGGTGGGCCGAGGGTTTAGCTGGGGGAAAGCTTTGTGGGTGGGCTACTTCTGTATTTACCACGGCGCCGTCTGAATTGTGTTAGGAAAAAGCAACGCCATGAAGACAGGCGGTGTTAATACTGCCAGTAATTCAGTGCAAGGAAGAAGTGTAGGGGCCAGGAGCCGCGCCTTTGAACCACCCAAGCGCGAGAGAAAAGGTGACGAAGGGGAAGAGGAAGGACGGACGGACGGACGGACGGACGGACGGACGGACGGACAGACAGACAGACAGACAGACAGACAGACAGACAGACAGACAGACAGACAGACATTCACACAGACAGACCGACGGAAGGATACAGACAGACATAATAAACGTGCCAGTCGGTCTTATTTGTAAGGGGTGCCTCTATCTGTATTATTATAGTGCAAGACAACCTGTTCATGGAAAGAAGTAGAGCATACTACCAGAGTCTCAAGTCGTTGAAGCTTTAGCTTTCGTAAGAGATTGACGCAGCTTGTAACACATTTTGGTCATACTCGTGCCGAAGTTACAAGTGTTACAAAAGACTAAAAGAGTAACATAAAAAGAAGAAAATAAAAGGAGAAAAGATGAGGACGACAGAATGTTTGAAGGGAAAGAAGGGGCAAACCACACCACAGCACCCGTCAAGCACTCACAAAGAGACTGTAGACGAACAATACGGCGTTGGTAAAAAAAAAATGTTTAAGTTTCACCATGTTATATTTTTTAAAAGGGAGAAATCTTGACCTACTCAATGCAACATGTCGTATAATTTAAGTTAAAAGACCATCCAAAAATCTAGCCAAACCCCCACAACGTACTGTCAGAGGCAAATGTACCAATCCCTAAATTTTGAATTCTCAATAGATTGAACAAAATTTGATCCGAGTTCAGAAAACAGCATCCACATTCAAGACATCAGAATATCTCAATAAGTCCCCTGGTAACAAAACGACATTATCCTGGATGCCGTATTCAGCACAGCGCGGGAAACCATCCTGGGACACAGATCCACAATCGGACAACAGAGCGTCTGATGACTTCCAGATCCCAGACAGGAAAAAATAAGGGGGGGGGGGGGGGGGGGGCGGATAAAAACTTATTAATTCAAAAGCACGAAAATCTTTCCCAGCGGTGCCCCGTTCTTGACCGGCAGCACATTCTAGAACGTCTTTAGCACCGAGAGACCGGATTACTTCCACAATAAAACATAAAAATAAATAAAAACGGAGCGTGACAGTAATCCAGACGGCGAGATACAGCACGCGCTATTTGTCGCGGGATAGTCAGTCAGCCCTACAGGGCCACACAACAGAGCCAGAGAAAGCCCCGAGTGGATTTCTCACACATCGTCCTTACCCCAGAACACACAGAAGACGTCAGACGGACGAGGCAGCGATGTTGTTTGTAGTATAGCACAGCC